TGAAGAACGAATCAGACAAATCCAGGCTGTTAGGCATTCTTCAAAACCAGGACACGAAACTCTTCAGGAGTCAAAATCCTTATTAGTCATTGACTGGGCTCGTGACCACCAGTGGGGACCAGGGACAGAACAAACCACCACTTCCTCGAGGAGCCACACTGACCGGATGGCCCCTCGTGAGGGCCGAGGAGTCTAAGAAAGCGCTCCTGGCTGGGGCAGCGAAAACCTCTGCCACAGGTTTTAGGCTGGTCCGCCCTGAGCTGGCACCGCGCAGTCTGAGGTCGGCGACACGTGCGCCATGTGTTCGTGATGACATACGGTCCCCACCCCAAGAAGACTGCGGTTCTGAGTGACACCTCAGGCCACAGCACCAACTTCCTGGAAACAGGGAGCCCTAAAAGGTAAGCTGCCCATTCACCTCAGCGGAAACAAAGGTGCCCCTCACCCCCACCCCATGGATCAAGGAAAACCTCCAGGAAAAGGTTAATTTTCTGATTCTGAGGGAGGAGTAACCCAGAGCCAGGAGTCTGCCAGACACACTGCTTCACGCTGTAAGGACCTGGAAGGGGACTTGGAGAGTCAACCTCATCAGGGCCTGTTACTGTTGTCAAGGCAACCGGAGCTCCCAGCTCTCAAAGGGGAGTTTCAAGCACTCACTTGCCCCCAAATTCTTTTTGTTTTAAGCTATTCTTTGAATTCTTTTAAAACAAAAAAAACATAACAAAATATATTTCTATTCCTAGCACCCTCATTGTTTCTCGTAGTTTAATCCTTTGTCAGACATCTAGTCCTCTATGTAATTAAAATGCCAAGGTAGCAAGGGCCTTGAAGCAATAATACTTTTCACTTTGTAATGAAACAAATCATGAAAATCATATGAATCATGAAAATAAACTCATGCAGGAATGGTCCAAATAGCTTGTGTATTTTGGATGAAAAGAGTACAATTCCCAAACCATGATAGCAACACGGGGTGGGGAGGAGAGACTCAGCAAAGACCAGCAGAAGTGCACGCAAACCAACCTCTGGTGGAAAGAAATACTTATAAGACAATAGGGAGCAGGGAAATTTTCAAAATGACTACCATTCCATGATGTTATATGGTATTATCATTAATTGTTTTAGCTTAATAGAATTGTGACGAAGAAAGGGAGGGAGGGAGGGAGGGAGGCTTCATCTTTGCCATGTGTACTGAGGTCTTTACAGATGAAGTTATGTGATGTCTAGGGCCTGCTGTAAAATAGTTCAGAGTGGTGGTTGCAAATGAAATAAGATTGGCCGGGTAATAGCAACTGTCAAAGCCGGGGGATTAGTGTTTGGGGGCTTTCTGTACTAGTCTCACTTTTTTAATATGAGTTGAAAATTTTCAGAAATAAAAAAATCTATCTTAAAAAAGAGACAGGAAGAAAGAGAGGAAAAGGAAAGCAGGTGAGTCGAGCAAAAGGACGAGAGAGAACAAGGAATGGTAAGAGGAGGTGAAAGGGAAGAAAGATGTAGAGAAAGCAAGAGAATCAGAAGCCCAGAGATCAGAGCAGATGGTGGGGAGCCCCGAACCCCTCAGCGGCCTCCCTGCTTCGTGCAGCCTGGGCAGCACCGTTGGCAAAACTTGGAAGAGCTCAGGGTCACCAAAAGCCTGCTGGGGGAAGAGTCCTGAGTGCAGTTCTGATATGCCTCTTCCACTGCCCTGGGAGAGCCACACCTGCACCCCCAGCCCACACGCCCGTGGGGAGAGGAGAGCACAGCTGTCTAAGGGGCTTAACTCCTGTTTCCCCGGCCTTGACCTGGGCGAAGCCACCAGTGTTATTACCGGCCACCGACATGTACAGAGACCAAAGGTAAAAGCATGGGAAGGAGATTGGCACGGGAATGTAAAAGCCAATGAAAAGTAGCACCAGGAAGAACTCCTGAGCGCTCCACGATAGAGAAGCTCAGTCAACTCCGTCACATGTTGATTGTGTAAATAAGGGAGACCAAGAGAAGTTGAATTAGACCAAACATCCTTTATGCCCAATCCTGGAATATGGTTTGTTTTGTTCTGATTTTATACTGGAGTGTGAGTGTTTGGGGTGGCTCAGCAAGCATTATAAACCACTAGTAAAACCTCTTCTGGCAGAGTCCCCAGGCATTAAGTTGAATCCTGTGTAGTTTGGACTTTGTTTTTCTTCTTTTTCTTTTTAAGATTTTTACAAATTGATTTTTATAGAGAGAGAGAGGAAGGAAAAGGGAAGGAGAGAGAGAAACATTAATGTGAAAATGAAACATAGATCAGCTGCCTCTTGCACGGCCCCGACTGGGGATTGAGCCCGCAACCTGGGCATGTGCCCTGACTGGGAGTCAACCGGCAACCTTTCTGCGCACGGGACAAGGCCTAACCAACTGAGCCACACCGGCCAGGGCATGTTTTTCTTCTTCTACTTGTCCGATTTTAAAGGGAACTCCTAGGGATTCCTCCCCAAACAATTATCCAGATGATTCCCGATAAAAATTAGGTCCCAAAATCGGCTTCCATCAAGAGCAGCGGTTCTCAACCTGTGGGTCGTGGCCCCTTTGGCAGTCGAACGACCCTTTCACAGGGGTCGCCTGAGACCATCCCGCATATCAGATATTTACATTACGATTCATAACAGTAGCAACATTACAGTGATGAAGTAGCAACGAAAATAATTTTATGGTTGGGTCACAACATGAGGAACTGTATGTAAAGGGCCAGAAGGTTGAGAACCACTGAATTCAAGAGTCATAGCCAAGGCCTGGACCAGAACCAGCGTGGGCACCAGAGCCTGGTGAGAAGGCAGAGGTCGACGCAGAGACAGACCTGCCTCGATGGGCCACACCAGACAGCTTAGAAGCTAACTCTGTCGTTTGTCATTTGTGGAACTCGTGGGCCATTCCCTAGGACCAGTTCATGATCACCGAGGCCATAACCTGAACCCACGAGAGTCGAGTGCAGTCCACACCGTCTCCTCAGAAGGGCTGCCAATGACTCCACAGGGCGAGTGCCCCACAAAGAAACAATCCCCTCTGTCCTTGCACAGTTGGAAATTTTAGTTCCACTTTATTCTTCCCTCAGTAGATGTTCAGCTATTCACATTTAACTTTCAGTTTCTTACTTTCTGTCTTCTCAAAATTACATCAGCTGGAAGAGATCTGAAGATGGCAACGTAGGTAAATACCTTTACTCGCCGCCTCCCACAACCACATCAAAATGATAACTAAAATACAGAACAATCATCCGGAGCCGCTGGAGAGCTGGTTGAAGTCCTACAACTAGAGAAGTAAAGCAGAGAGCACACTGAGACTGGCAGGGGCTGCGGAGGCGCGGAGCGGGCTGGGCCGGCACCCACGTGCGCCGCTTTTTTAATCGGGAGGGAGACAGTCTCTGCAGAGGCCACCCGGAGGAGCAAGGGGTCCCAGCCCCACACCAGACCCCCAGCCCAGGGTCCCAGCCCCACACCAGACCCCCAGCCCAGGGTCCCAGAGCAGGAAAAAGAAGTCCCTACAGGCAGTAAGGACTATGGGCTGTAAAAACCAGTGTGATTGGGGCTCAGTGATACAGAGGCTGCTGGAGACCCAGCTGTTCCTCTTAAAAGGCCGGCACCACGAACTGAACTTATAAGGTCCCACTTCCTCTGGGCTCCAGCACCAGGGTGAGGCTCTGGGCAACACGGACACATACGAGGGGGAGCTGGATTTGCTGGCATCAGGGCAGGAACTCGGGGGCGGCTTTCTCCCAGACGGAGGTGCTCCAGGGAACGTTGTTCCTATGCTGGGAACTCCCCAATTGCAGGGCTGACTGGCAGCCATTTCTGTTTGCTCCGCCCTGGTGATTCCCTGAGACCCTACCTCATCCAATTTACAACCCCACCCAAGCTGTGTGCAGCAGCTTCTGCATATGAATGGCCTTTTCTTGCTCAGGGTAAAATCTCTCAAACAAGCTCAATCCCCAGTAGGGGGCATGTAGGAGACAGCTGATTGATGATTCTCTCTTATCATTGATGTTTCTATCTCTCTCCCTCTCCCTTCCTCTTTGAAATCAATGGAAATAGTTTTTCAGAAAAGTATCAACAAGGCAGTAGAAAGATCACCGTATTACAAAGAAACAAGTGGGGCTGGCCTCAGACTTCCTCCATCAAATCTATACATGTGATTAAATTACACAGAACGACTACTACTAAATACACACATGCACATATACACGATGTTTACATAAAAGAACTGGTGAAATCTGAACAAGTTTGCACTTCAGTTAACAGTACTGCACAGTGTCGAATTTTTCGTTTTGATATTAGTCTGAACTTATATAAAATGTCATCACTGGGGGGAAGTTGGGGAAGGGTACATGTCTCTGTACTATCTTGGCAACTTCCTGTGACTCAACAATTTATCTGTGACAGAATCGTAACAGGTTCTTGTAAACCTCAAATCCAAACTTGGAACGAAAGGTAAATAAATCAACTTAACACCTAATCACCTAAAAGGACCAGATGGGTGGATATTTAATCACTTCCACATCGATTCCAACAGTCGTGTTCAACTATCGCTGAGAACAGCAGAAATCCCAGCGCAAAGCTGTCGACTGTGAAGTTTAAGTAAGAAGTTAACACTCTTGGCTTAACCTCACCGAAAATTACTTGTTTGCAGACAAATTATCCACCGGGGACACTTTTTCATTTGAGGAGACCTGCTCTACCTCCCTCCCTTCCCTTCTCCCAACCCAAAAAAGCAGCATGTGAAGAACTGTCACAGTCCCCGTGCAATCAGGACCTTCCCTACAACAAAGACCTTCCAGCCCAGTGGGCGTGGCTCGGTGGTTGAGCATCGACCCATGAACCAGGCCGTGGTTCAATTCCCAGTCAGGATCTGTGCCTGGAGGCAGCCAATCGATGATTCTCTCTCATCATTGATGTTTCTCTCCCTCTCCCTTCCTCTCTGAAATCAATGAAAACATATTTAAAAAATAAATATACAAAGAAAGACCTTCCGTAAGAGGGCTGACTTACCCTGTCCCAGCTGAAACACAGGCCCAGGCGGTCAAGCTGCTTCCGCATGTACTTAATGTTACTGTGAAGTAGAGGGAAGAAGGTTTGGATTTAGCTGGGGGGGGGGGGGGGGGGGGCCGTAAACAAACTATACTTTGAGAATAGGAAGGGAAAGGGGAAAAGCCTAGATTATTCCAAAGGGCTCGAAATGTCGTTTTGCCCTGGCCCCAAAAAATCACTAAGAATAAATGAAAATGCCAGCATATTGGAAGATACTGACTCTTCGGACTCAGACAGGATCTACTAGAAAGCACAATGGTCTTTGGCCCTGGGATGGGCCCTTCCTCTGGCCACTCAGGTGGGCAACGCCTTTGCTATGTGCACTCCTGGCCCATCCACATGGGGCGGGCAAAAGTAGTATTCGAAACACAAAGTTTACTCTTGTATTACTGATTATTAATTATTGTGTTATTCTCCATACAAACAACTGTAAACCCACTTTTGCCCCACCCTGTATGTCTGTATTCTGCACGGAGTTAAGCCAGGCATTTAGCATAAAATCCACTGAAGAGAAAAAAACCTTAACATACGAACTGTGGGAATCCACGTACACGGGTGTTTGAATGTCTGTAAAACACACCTTTGCGTCCAACTGTCTGGATGTAGGTTCCTCTCAATGGCGGCATTTTCGGCAGGCAGTCCGAACGCATCCCACCCCATGGGGTTGATGACCTGGGACCAGAAGGGAAGCGTCAGGCATGGCGGACGGTGAAGACCGAGGTCAGTGTCCTCTCTGGGTGATTAGCAGGCATTCTCTTCTACTAACACGCCTGACCCTTCTTCCCGGGTGAGTTCAAAATGTGCTCTGGGAAGCCAGCCAGCTACCTCTGCCATACCGAGGATTTAGCAGGTTACACACCAAGGCATCTATGCTAGGTGACTGAGTCAGTGTTTTCATTACTGCATCTCAGAGTTGTCAGCCAGGCTGTCTCTCTCTCTCTTCCTCTCTTTCTCTTCCTCTCTACCTCCCTCCCTCCCTCCATCCCTCCTTCCCTTCCACTCTCTCTGAAAAGCAATGAAGAAAATATCCTCAGGTGAGGATTAACAAAAAAAAAAAGTCCTAGCAGCTGAAATCAGAAAATCTAGAAAATAAACTTCCGGAGCGTGAAAAATCATGTCTAGCAAACACTCTAAGTAGTTAAAATGGAGTGAGAAGCCGAGCGGACAGGCGCCGCCACCCGTCCGATCTGGATGGAAGGCTGGAAGGGGGAAGCAGAGTTCTCAGAGCTCAAAGGCCCAGATCGCCTGCTGAAGCTGAAATAGGCAGGTCTGCCCAGACGAAACTGGATTAATGAAGGAGGCACTACTCAAGCCAGAGAGCAATTCCCTGGTTTCCCCTTTCCTCCTGCCCACCGCTCCCCCGCCCCACCCCCAACTTTGGCCAGAATTTCTTATTGCCCAAAACCAGCCAGAGGCCAGCTGACACCAGAGCTTGGGAAATGTGGCCTCAAGGGGTCTGCCCTTCTGCCATTCAAAGCAAAGCAGGGGATGGGGCTGACAGCAAACTGGCCAAGGACCAGCACAGGAGCACCAGTAGGAATGCAAAATCTCCCAGGACTTGAGACATCACAGAGGAATTGGGACCAGTTACTGATGAAGGGCAAACACAGGGATCAGAGCCCTGGCAGGTCAGAGCAGAGCTGGCCAGGAGATGAGGCCTGGGAGCGGGTCTAGGCCAGCCCCTGGTGTGGACACAGTCACATGATCACAGCTCACCCTCCTGCCTCCCTCCAGGCATAGCCACCAGCATCTCAGGGTTGTGGGCAGGATGGACAGCAAGGTGGCCAGGAAAAAGGACACAGGAGACAGCACAGCTACATAGGACGATGTACAGACAAGGCTCTGGAGGGATGGACCGGAAAGCACCAGGGATTACTGCCCAGAGGGGCCTAGTGAGGCAGGGAGTGGCCAAAGGAGACTGCAGTCTTATATATGCATATGTGCTTTCAAGGGGGAATATGGAATTTTATGTTCAATTTTAAAATACTTTTCTTTCAAAAGGAAAAAAAAAATAGAACAACCAAAGGTACAGTTCTTGGCCGGTCAGAGTGGCTCAGTGGTTGAGCACAGACCCATGAACCAGTAGGTCAGGGTTCGATTCCCGGTCAGGGCGCATGCCCATGTTGCAGGCTCGATCCCAGGAGAGGGCGTGCAGGAAGCAGCCGATGGGTGTTTCTCTCTCAGCATTGATGTTTCTATCTCTCTTTCCCCTCCTCTCTCTGAAATCAATAAATATAATTTTTAAAAAGTACAGTTCTTCCTCCAACACAGGAAGTATGATCAGAAGACTTTGGAGGGAGACCAGGAAGCTGGGGCAGCGGCCGGCTGGTTCCCAAAGGAGAGAGGAGCACAACTGTTACCACAAAAGAGGCAACGGGTTTCCTCGGAGTGATCGGCTTTCTCTCCCTGTCATCGTAAAACAAAACTTCAGATCTGAAACCAACGTGGCTTCTAATTGACAGCAACCATGGTTACTGCTTCTCAAAAAGCTGCTATTTTCAGAGAGTACCGTGGTTTCTCTGGAATAGGTGCAATCGTTTACTTCTAAGAAATGCGAAACACAGTATTTCCTTTTGTCCAGCAAGTGTAATAACCCACCGCGACTATAGATTGGGGATCAAATTCAAGCCAATACTTCAGGGTAAAAAACATCCGAGTGACAGCACAGCGGCCCAAGCAGGAGACCTCCCCTGAGAATGTGAGGGATGTGACAGGCGAGATCGGCCAGTTCCCAGTCAAGACCCTGGACCAGCAATTCATTCTTTCCCTCAAACTGCATCTGAGAGGATAAGCTCCTACTCTCTGCTTCCAGACGCTGCAGAGATTTGCACATTTGAAAACTCGGGGCCAAGTTGTGTGCTGAGGGGCAAACTGGAAACTGATGAAACATATATTATGATTCACATAGGTGACTATGTAGTGATCACACAGCTGCCAGACACCTCCATGTCTTTCCTCTTCCTCAGGGAACAGCAGTGCCCGGAGGCTTTCTGCCTGAGACAAATTAGCCCCGTGTGTGAGGGAGACTTGGCACGTTGATGCTAATCACCCGATGCTTTAATCTGGCCCAGAAGGTGCTGGGGAGACCAGCCGAGGTGGGAGGAGGGTAATTTTATTTTCCAACCATCTGTGCATACAACAGATGAAAACACAACAAAATCACCGTATGGAGCTGAGCTGTAAATGTGTCATCAGACACTGCGGGTTTACAGAGCAGCCCTTTCTGATTCCTGAATGAGCAGCCCTTTCTGATTCCTGAATGAGGGTGATTGATCTCTGGCTTAGAGCAGCCCCTGCTCCACATCTAATCCTCAGCACCACCTTATTAGTGCTCCTATTAATTGGGTTACACGGGGAAACTGCATTAGAGTTTTTAAAGGGTTTTCTCATTGTCTCACAGGAACTTTGCAACCAATCTGAGGTGGGAGGCGGTCAGCCACTATTGTTGACTAAAGCCCCTGATTCCTGATCAATTCATCACCCTCAAGCCTCCGAGCTTCCATTTGTAAAGGCCACATGTGATCTACACCCGTGGAGGTCCCCGGTGACCCGAACAGAGCAGACTTGGTGCACGGGTCACTCCATATGTTTTACTTCCCATAGTGCTGTTCTCAGTGTGCCTGAGAATTGCTTCACAATTTCCATGTAAGAACAAAGCAAACCAACCAACAAATTTACAAGTTACAGAAAAAGGCAGAGCTTGCTGAACATTCCTTGGGCCTACTGACCGATTTTGAACCCAAGACTCCAATACAGTTGTCCACTGAACAATGTGGATTTGAACTGCGAAGGTCCACTGATAACCCCATATTCCTGGGTTTTGCACCTATGGATTCAACCAACTGCAATGCAGAGGGCTGACTATGCATTGTTCCACAGCATTTATACAAGGGACTTGAGAATCTGTGGATTTCAGTATCTATGGGAGTCCTGGGACCAATCCACTACACATACTGAGGGATGATTGTAGTTTAGTTTTGGGGGACTTAACAGCTATGCTAGGATTTTCAACTGCACTGGGGCAGGTGGGGGTAGCCCCTAACTCCCGTGTTGTTCAAGGGTTAACTGTGTTTGTATTTAATGCAGCAGAAAGCCCAGTGTTTAGAATAAAGCTGGTACTTAATGACTATTTATCGAAAGAATTTATCAATACATGTGTCAGACCCAATTATTCTAGGTTAGATATTCCTTCCCTCCTTAGCGTGAGGATCATTGAACTTGACCTGAAACCAATCCTGCTCTCTCTCTGTCTGGGACTAGACTTGACATTGGAAAGAAGGATTTTAAAACAACAGGAAAGTCAACAGGCTTTCACACTGTTGACAATTTTTTTTACACTGAGATTTCTGTTTCTCTTTTGCCATATCACTTAAAAATGGCAGGACAAATTTTCACCAAATTTGGCAGTAATATTTGGGACAATCTGACTTAACTATGAGCTATGAAAATTAACAAGAAATTAATTTCAGCCCTAACTGGTTTGGCTCAGTGGATAGAGCGTCGGCCTGCGGACTGAAGGGTCCCGGGTTTAATTCCGGCCAAGGGCATGTGCCTTGATTGCGGGCACATCCCCAGTGGGAGGTGTGTGAGAGGCAGCTGATCGATGTTTCTCTCTCATCGATGTTTCTAACTCTCTATCCCTCTCTCTTCCTCTCTGTGAAAAATCAATAAAATATATTTTTAAAAAAAAGAAATTAATTTCAGGGAAACCTGGCGGATACCCGCAAAAGGGAGCTTATCATCTGAAATGGAGGAACACAGAGAACCCTATGCGCCTGCTGATCGCACAGACTAAGACACCGTAAACATAACGTGGTTTCAGGCACCACTCCAGCCGCAGGATCACGCAGGCTGCGGGCAATGACGTGCAGTTCAGATGTTCTTCGGAAGGCAACTTCATGCAGCGCGCTCCAGACAGCAGAGAACGGGGACTCACTTATTCCGTAGAGATGAATGCCTCCCCGGAGTAAACCAGATCAGGATAAATCATAATCACAGCTGCCACCTATTAAGGGATTATTATGTGCCAGACACATGCACAAACTCATTTAACCTGCACAACCACCCCCTGAGGGAGGCACTACTGTTATCCCTGTTGCAAAGATGAGGAAAGTGGGATTCGGAGACAGTAAATGACTTGTGCAGGGTCACTCAGCTAGAAAGTGGTAGGACGGGGCTCAAACCTACTGTCCAACTCCTGAGCCAGCCTGACCGTGGGCCTCTGTTTTGTCTTCTGGGCCTGAGCTGCCTACCTGGGTCCTGGGACCTCTAGGCCCGGGGGCCTGCTTGGAGCTTTCTCTGTAATGCCTCATGCATCTAAGGGAATTAGAGTCCCACCTACACCCTCCCTACACCAACCACCTATCTGCTAACGGGCTTCCCTTTCTTTACCATAAATGTTCAGTTTTGCTACAGAAGCTTAATCTTCAACAATTTGCCTGCATTTGCCAACTGTCTAAAATAACTTGGGTAAGTAAAAAAAAAAAAAAATCGAGTTGAAGAATCGCAGTTAAATAAAGAGTTATTCTTCAGGCAAAGGGCCAATTCATTCCACACCGCCTCTTTCTAATAAACACAGCAGAAAGATGGAGAGCGTGTCTGGGGGAGACGGCATCTGGCATAAACCAGGGAGACAAACACCTGTGGCCGGCTTCAGGCAGGAGAGAAATCGCTGCATTTGACAGGATGACGTTATTAACTCTTCCAGTGACAAAGAGGCGTTGTAGCTTGACTTCCTTTTTAGGAATACTTCTTGCTGCCAACGTCAGTTCGGCATAAATTTTCAAACCAACTGTGACAAGGATGCACTCATCTTTCTAAAAGAAAATCTTTACAAAGGACTGGGAGGCGGCAGACATCATTTGTTCAGGCCTTGCCGGTTCATCACAGCCAGTGGGGGAGTGGGTTACTGGAATAAACACAAGACGGGGCAGAGATGCACAGCGGGCTCTCGGGCACTGGTGTGGGCAGATTCCAGCCGCCATTGGCAGTGCAATGTTTACTGTTACCACCATGTGCCATGCATATGCCATGTACTTCACTGTTACCCTCTTTGAATCCTTGTACCAGGCCAATGGGCAGGTACTAGTTGATCTCCACTTTGCAAAGGAGAGAACACTAGGTCCCAGAGAAGTTAATTAAATGACTAGTCAAAGGTCCACAGCTAGGAAGTGCTAAGAGCTGGCCTTCAAGTCCTGGCCATCTGGTTCAGTGGTCCTGGCTCGCAGCCCTTCGTCCATCCCGCCTCTCTGCAAGTAGTTAAAGAAGGTGTTACGATTATTCCCACCTGTGGGACTGGTGGGAATAATCGATTATTCAGGCCTGCAGACTGAAGGGTCCCAGGTTCGATTCCGGTGAAGGGCACATGCCGGGTTGCTGACTCAATCCCCAGTAGGGGGTGTGCAGGAGGCAGCCAATCAATGATTCTCTCTCATCATTGATGTTTCTATCTCTCTCTCCCTCTCTCTTCCTCTCTGAAATCAATACAAATATATTTTTTTTATAAAAGTTTCTTCCTCCTCCTCTCTCCAGGCAAATTTCACCGCATCCTCCAGATCTATGTCAGATGGTCCCTCTTTAGTGGGGCCCCTCCCAACTCCTGCAGAGCTGTTATTCCCCAAATGTCTCTTCCTTACAAAACCTTATTCCATTCTGTGTTTCACCCCACCAGACGGTGAACTCCTTCCTGGGGAGATAGCATGTGTTACCCACATGTGTGGCTACCCCACTCCACCCCCACCCCATCTCCACCCTTAGCACAACACCTAACACCCAACTAATCGAGATGCTTTGTTATAATAACTTCTAGTTCATAAAAGGAAACACTGAGCTTGTCATGTTTATCTTCAAAGCGAATCTCATCTTAACTGAGTGGTGTTCTGCATTTGCCCTGAACACACGTTGCAACATTCTCATTGTTCTGGGGGAGGTGGACACAGGCTGTCGGGCAGCACTGCCCTTACCTGCATCCCTCTCATCCTCTGGAACCGGGCGATGGTGTCGCTGATGGTGTACACACGCACATGGCCCATGTGCAGCCTGCCCGATGGGTAGGGGAACATGGAGAGCACATAAAACTTGGGCTTCGATTTCTAGGGAAGAAGGAAGGAAAATGATGAGTATTAGTAAGCATTTACTGGGAACCTGCCTGCACATAGCAGTGGGCACGTTCCTCAAGGTAATTGTTTAACACTGTGAAACGTGTGCTTTTGAAAACACTATTCCTGTAATAGAAGTTGACAAAAATGTCAAAAACCCAGATTCAAAGCCCTGGTTTGAGCTAAAGAATGTCCAAAATGGCCAAAACCGGTTTGGCTCAGTGGATAGAGCGTCAGCCTGCGGACTGAGAGGTCCCAGGTTCGATTCCGGTCAAGGGCATGTACCTGGGTTGCGGGCATATCCCCAGTAGGAGATGTGCAGGAGGCAGCTGATCGATGATTCTCTCTCATCGATGTTTCTAACTCTCTATCTCTCTCCCTTCCTCTCTGTAAAAAATCAATAAAATATATTAAAAAAAAAATGTCCAAAATGATGCCAAACACCCTCCAAGTGCTAATTACTCACCTATATTTTTAATCTTTTTTTCTCTCTCTTTTAAAAGCTTCTCTTAAAGACAGCTTCTATCTAGATCTAAGCAAACTGTGTTTTTCCAAATGAAGCTCTAGTGAATCCCAGATGTGACATCTCTGAACATGGAGCCCTTCCTCAATCTTGAGCTGCATTCAGACCTGGGTTAGCTTAAGACCAGTATCCTAAGGCACCAGTTTGGGTCCTGGGTTTCTCACTGTGTTGGGAGCTTATCTTTTAACAGAAAAAGCTGAAATGGGAAGATGGTGGGAATCTCAGCCAGTGAAGGGAGAAGGCTGTGGCTTCCCAGGGGTGGTCTGCAGGCAGCCTCAGGCCAGGGTTGTATAACTAACTCTCCAGCTTCCCAAGATGCAGCTTCAGCATGAGAAACACAGAGAACTGGACGTGCATCCCAAAAGAATGAACACAGGGCAGGAAGTCCTCATTGGGACGCTGACTTCGGCACCTTAGTTCTTCCATCGGCAAAATGGTGAGTGCTGGCACAAGTCCGTGCACAGGAGGGAATAAGGCTCCAGAGGAAAGCTGGTAGGCAGGTAACTAATTCCTCATTGGGGCCTGTTGTTCAAGGGCAATGACTGGGTTTGAGCATCTCCCCGCCTAACTCTCCAGCAAAATTAATAACTATTGGAAATTTGTGGGCCTTTGTGCTCCAAAAGCCTGATAACTGGCCTCTGTAGAACTCTTAGCAAACTGTCCCCATGATGCAAACTGGGCATTTCCCAGCAAAGTCGTCCACCAATCCTGTCCAGGCGATGGCACGCTGCCCCCGCCCAGCCTTACATCCTCCAAGGGGCAGAGGAGCTCCTAGGAAGAAAGATAATAAATAACTGCTTCTGCTTAGTCACTAAGGGTCAGGACCATCTGATATTACACTATTACATTTACTTCTGCCTTCTGTCTTTCCCTTTCTGTCTTGACTCCCTTCCTAGGGTCGTCTAAGGCTTTGCTTCCCCCAAACTAATGAAAACAAATGCAAAACAGAATATTCATAACCATCCCTTTGTGATCATGTGGGGGGGAGGGGATTTGCGGTTTTTGCTAGTATTTGCTTGCCTGATCGTTGACACAGCCAACTATAACCAGGGGAGTAGAAGAAACCAGAAAGCAGATTCTTTCCAATCTCATCTGACCCCTTGCTTTAAACTTCCTTCAGCAAAGAAGTTAAACTTTTACCAGAGCCTCTGACACGTGGCAAAAGAGACTAGTGTGGAACTTTTCTCTCCCTGCCCCTCCTCCAGAAATGACCGAGGGGCAGTCAAGTCAAGATGCCTGAAGGAAGAAAAGGGGAGTAAGGAGTCTGGAACTAGTCTACACAGACTAGAAAACCGTCTTGAAATGCTGTTGATGTAAACAGATGGGTGGGAAGCAGCACACGATCGCGCTCTTTAATTGGAAACTGTGGATCCACAGCGCTTAGGAAACCCTCAGGAACGTGGGTGAGGACAGGAGGTTCAGGAGTCAGTGGGGACTCAGGAATTACCGTCTTTAAGGAGACAGGTGACAAATAATCCTCTCAGCTTGTAAACAAGGCTCTCAAAGGAGGAACAAGACCTCAGGAAATAAGCAAACTAGCCTCCCTTCTCATTTTTAGGGAACGTGGTAAAGATCTGTTAAAGAGTTATTTTTTTTTAAACATATTTTTATTGATTTCAGAGAGGAAGGGAGAGGGAGAGAGATAGAAACATCAATGATGAGAGAGAATCACTGATCAGCTGCCTCCTGCACGCCCCACAGTGGGGATCGAGCTTGCAACCTGGGCATGTGCCCTGACTGGGAATCGAACTGTGACCTTCCAGTTCATAGGTCGACACTCAACCACTGAACCACACTGGCTGGGCCAGAGTTCTGGGACCCGAAAAAAACACACAAGAAAACCCTTGCTATAAAATATTTCGAGTTTTTCATTATAAACTTTTTACATTAAACCTGTTCTTCTTTTATTATAATCACCTTGTTTTTATTATAGTAATATATTTTTATATTATGTTTATTTAACAATCAATCTTGCCCCAAACATTTTCCACTCCTTCATTAGCATCTCCTTTTTGTATGTTTGTTTAACAAAGCTTAAATTTATGTAAAATCGAGTGATTCATTATATAGTAGCTAAGCCAAACACCAACACTGAGTTTATAGAAGATATATAGAAAAGTACTGCTAGCAAAAGCTTTTAATATTCATGGATATTTTTATTGCAGAAAAGGTATTCAGCTTACTGCCTGCCCTGCCTTTTGCTTTCTGTGTGAATTAAGTCATTTTCCTCTGTGACAATGAAATGCATTCTATCCTCTGTGGGTGGAAAGAAGAGAAGGAATTATGGGAGTTTATGTTATAACCAAGCAGGAATGTAATTGAAAGGGAAATTTTCATAATTATATAAAAGTTAAGAATTGAAACCATTAAAAGAAATTAAGATTTTAAGCGATAAGAAAAGGACGGTCTTTATAAATAGGTCCTATTCTTTTTGCCAGCTTCTCACGTTGGGAGAGAGATAATTTCTGTTTCTTTATAGACCTGGCTCCGAGCTGGGAGGAAGGGAGGATGGCAGAGAGGAGCACTCAATAGCAACCTGGAGCCCTAGTTCTGGTCCCAGCTTTGCCCCTGGCTCTGAGACCTTAGGCAAATTCCTTTGCCTTTCTGGGCTCAGTTTACAATCTGTAAATCAAAGGTGGCTCAGTGGTTAAAGCATCGGCCCTTGGATCAAGGGGGTCTCAGGTTTGATTCCCAGTCAAGGGCATGTACCTCAGTTACAGGTTCCCCAGCCCCAGTAGGGGAGCATGTTGGAGGCAGCCAATCAATGTGTGGGTGTCTCTCTCTCCCTCTCCTCCCTCCCTTCCACTCTCTAGAAATCAATGGAAAAAATATTCTTGGGCCCAGCTGGCGTGGCTCAGTGGTTGAGCGTCCACCTATGAACCAAGAGGTCACCGTGCGATTCCCGGTCAGGGCACATGCCCGTTTGTGGGCTCAATCCCCAGTGTGGGGTGTGCAGGAAGCAGCAGCCGGTCAATGATTCTCACTCATCTTTGATGTTTCTATCTCTCTTCCTCTCAGAAATCAATAAAAAAAAAAATATTTTTTTAAAAGATGACTGGGTCTGAATCCTGGCTCTGCCACAGGTGAGTTGTGCATCTGGACAAATTGCCAAACCTCCCTCTGAGCCTCGGTTTTCTTATCCCCAAGATGAGGATAATACCTTCCCTCAGGGTTGTTTCTGGATCAAATGGGAAAATAAATGGACAGATGGTGCCTGACACATCATAATATGCTCATTAAATGGAAGTTCTTGCCCTAACCGGTTTGGCTCAGTGGATAGAGCGTCAGCCTGCGGACTCAAAGGTCCCAGGTTCAATTCCGATCAAGGGCATGCACCTTGGTTGCAGGCACATCCCCAGTAGGGGGTGTGCAGGAAGCAGCTGATCGATGTTTGTCTCTCACATTTCTCATCGATATTTCTAACTCTCTATCCCTCTCTCTTCCTCTCTGTAAAAAATCAATAAAATGTATTTTTCTAAAAAATGGAAGTTCTTTTTAGTATGATGATAATTAGGATCATGCTGGCAAAATATTCCACTTCTAGACAATCATTTGGGTGGGTTTCAACTGTACCTCACACTAGAGCAGTGATGGCGAACCTTTTGAGCTCGGCGTGTCAGCATTTTGAAAAACTCTAACTTAACTCTGGTGCCGTGTCACATATAGAAATTTTTTGATATTTGCAACCATAGTAAAACAAAGACTTATATTTTTTATATTTATTTTATATATTTAAATGCCACTTAACAAAGAAAAATCAACCAAAAAAATGAGTTCGTGTGTCACCTCTGACACACATGTCATAGGTTCGCCATCACTGCACTAGAGTGAGGTCCATGGTCAATGCTTCCGAACCCACCAGCATCCAGCAGTGTTTTCTGTTCCTGACAAGACGCACCACACATTTTTCTCCCCTTGTACCTTTTTCATTTACATAACACTTCAGTTTGTAAAATGTGTTCAGCCACATTTCCCCATTTGACTTTCAAAACAATTCTGTGAGATAAATAATGTGAGGAATGTGAGGACCAAGGAGGTTCATGATGTTGCCAAGTTCGCACGCATTCTGGAGCAGAGCCAGTCCTTTACTGCCAGGCTCCAGACCCTCGCCAGGAGCTCGCTCCACTACACTGCACCCCCCTCAAACCCGACAGAGTGGCAGGGCCCATCCACAATATCTCCAAAGCTATTTATCCAATTATTGAAACACTAGAGGCTCAGTGCACGAATTTGTGCACGGGTGGGGTCCGGTTGGGCAGATCAGGCTGGGCCAGCCAGGGGGAGGGGCCACGGGCAGTTGGCTGGCTGACCCCACCCCCTGATCAAACTCCCAGTTGAGGGCACAATTTGCATATTCGCCTTTTATTATATAGAATAATTTATTTTGATCCACTTAATTTTTTAAAAACCATATGCTTCAGAATGAGATGTCACAAAATCAGTAAGCTACAACTTCAAAATGTTTGAAAGTCACTAAATTATAATCTAAACCAAAAGTAAAAAATCGAAGTTTAAGCTACTTATTTAGAATTAAACTGCACCCTGCCCAGTCGGTGTGGCTCAGTGGTTGAGTATCAGCCTATGAACCAGGAGGCCACGGTTCGATTCCTGGTCAGGGCAGCACATGCCCAGGTTGCAGGCTCGATCCCCAGTAGGGGGCGTGCAGGAGGCAGCCGATCAATGATTCTCTCTCATCATTGATGTTCCTATCCCTCTCTCCCTCTCCTTTCCTCTCTGAAATAAAAAATACATATATTAAAAAAATGAATTGAACTAAGGTTTATATCCCTAAGGTTTATATCCAAAATATATTACGTTAGATTAGTCTGATCATGTTGCCAGGAAGGCTTTTCGCTTCCTAATGAGTAAGAGTTAGGCTTGCATTGCACATTTACGCATTACATTCAAAACTTCCTTTTTGTCATTTCACTTGTTATATGCTATGCCTTTCTCAATGTCAGACTTTCTCACCAGAGGTAATGGCTAACGCATCCGAGCCTGGTACCCAGCAGGCTGGCCACCCAGAGAAGCAGCCTCCAGCAGAGCACTCCACGGATACGGCTACAGCCAAGCACTTCAGACAATTAATTCAGGTAGAGCCTGGACTAGTGCATCCGGATCAGAAGCCAAGGGTCCACTAATTCATACAGCTGCTAATGCCAGGTTGGACCCCAGCCCCAGGTCATACCAGGGAAGGGCTGGTACCTCCCAAACCATGACGCTGAGGTGACAGAACAGGGTTGGAGGCCAAGGCTATGCCAGGGGAGGGGAAGGTCCTTCTCAGAACATATAGCTTTAAAGTTCCTCAGCTGAGGGGCTCAGGTGCCACTTCTGGAGTCTGATATCTGACCCTGCCAGAACCCTGTGTGCTGCCCCACTCTGCAATGGACCAGGAAGAACCTAGCGCCTGCTATGGCTCCTGTCTTGATGGGTTTCCAGTAAATGCTGCTGCAGAATGCTGGTGTGGTGCTATCTGCATGCACCTGCGTGCACACACACCACACTGAATCTCTTCTAAGCAGCAGCCTTGTCTCATTACATTGACCCTCGCATTTACCAGGGAGCAGTGGACACTGTGGCTATCACTGTCCACTTTAGATGAGAAAACTGAAGCACAGAGAGATTCAATCATTTGGTTCAAGGTCACATATATACAATAAAAGCCTAAGCGACTGTTATGGCAGGACGACCAGGACGACCGGTTACTATGATGCGCACTGACCACCAGGGGACAGACACTCAATGCAGGAGCTGCCCCCTGGTGGTCAGTGCGCTCTGACCAGGGGAGCGCCGCTCAGCCAGAAGTAGGCTCACGGCTGGCGAGCACAGCGGTGGTGGTGGGAGCCTCTCCCGCCTCCACAGCAGCACTAAGGAGCAGCGAGCCAAGCAGTAAAGAGCAGCTAGCAGGTGGACGGTAAGAAGCAAGGCGTCCCCGACTATGAGAGGGATGTCCACCGAGGGCTCCCGACTATGAGAGGGTGCAAGCCGGGCTGAGGCACACACACCCCCCCTGCCGCCCCAGTGCACAAATTTCGTGCACTGAGCCTCTAGTACTTAATAATTTGTTTGAACCAGGCAGTCTGACCTCAGAGTCCAAGCCCTTAACCCCTCTTCTCTACCCTTTCAGAATCTCCCAGGATACTCACATCAGCTTCAGAAATTTTGGAGGCCTGTTCTTTTATTCGTGAATGCCACCATTTTTCAACGTCCTTTCTTGTCTGCAGCGTATACTCTTTCGTCCACTGGCCCGTGGCACTGTAAATTCCTCTGGAACATCCTGGAATGACTCTCTTTCCCCAACTGATGACATCCGGCCCACCATTTAGCTGCCTTTTCAGAAGAGAGACATAGAAACCCAATCTCTGCCAAGCAGAAGCCATTCTTCAGAAGGTGGGAGGCCCTGAAAGAGGGGAGAAAGCACACTGGTGAGCTACCTGAACCCCCTCCTGAGCCTGGCCTTCCACTCAGCACAGCCCAGGGCACCTTGCCCCCTCACTTTCCTCTTATTCTTCTGATGATTGCTCTCCCTGAAAAGAATGCTTTAGAACAAGGGTGGGCAACCCCTGGCACGCATGCCAAACATGGCACGCCAGTAACTTTTGCTGGCACGCAAAACTCTCCCTTATAATCTTCCATTTACAATTTTTTTCTTAATATCGACTCTTTTATTTTTCAGATAAATTCAGTGTAGGTGCATCTTAGATAGATAAATAATTTTACATAACAAGTTATCTTAAAGACCACAGACATGGATTGACGAGAGGGGGAAGAGCAATTTCTGTGCCTCTGCCTTAACTCTCCCTGCCTTCCTAGATCTGACCAGTGTTTTGGTTTCATCCACATACGCTTGTGAATCTTTGGCCTCAGTGATGAATTCTGTTAAGTCTCGTAATAGGAGTAGCCTGACGGATGAAAGTAGTAGCTCCTGCATATCTCTGAAGGTCATGAAATATAAACCTGATGTAGAATCTCTGTCACCAGTGATGCAGCAGCAAAAGTCCCACTGATAATATCAGACGGAGTCATAAAGTTTTCTGTCGGACTGTCAGTGTACATGTATACATTAAAAAATAAATGTATTTTTCATCATCATATACTGTGTTTTTGTCGCTTGAATGAATTTTATTATTTCTTCAAGGTTCTTCACATACGTACACCTTAAGAGATATCAAGTAGGTGTAACATGTTCTCAAAAAATGAGGGTTGGCACGCAGAAGAACTTTGAGTCAGAGATTTTGCTGGTTTTGGCACGCACTCACAAAAAGGTTGCCCACTCCTGCTTTAAAAGTTCAATTGAGCTAAGCACAATTTTTTTTTTAAATATGCTTTTAATGATTTCAGAGAGAGGAAGGGAGAGGGAGAGATAGAAACATCAATGATGAGAGAATCATTGATTGGCTGCCTCCTGCACGCCCCCTACTGGGGATCGAGCCCCAAACATGGGCATGTACCCTGCCTGGGAATCAAACCGCCACCTCCTGGTTCATGGGTTGATGCTCAAGCACTGAGCAACACTGGCCAGGCTAAGCACAAACTTTTTAAAAAATTAATTAATTTATTTTTAAGCACAAACTTTTTAATGGAAAATATAAAGGTGGTCAGTGCTCCCAAACACCAAAGATACAAACCCACCCTAGGGACAAATGGAGAGCACTGCCTGGGCCAGCTCCTACCACAGCCTCACAGACTGCATGGGAGGCGGCGGAGCCCTCCCTCCCTTCTCTGTAGGCCAGCCCAGGGTCTGCCCAGCAGGCTTCACTTCCCATCGTCCAGGATTCAGAAGAGCTCCAAGCATATCTTAGCTTGGCCTTAGGCTCAAATATCGGAAGGGATCTGAACACAGGCCTTTAAGGAAGACCAGAGACTCTGGGCGATTATAAGCATTTTTCAAATATACTATGAGTTCAAGATACTCGGTAGGCTAAGCCAGGAAATAACCGCAATTTAGAAGACTGCTTATTCACTTAGTTCTCCATTCATTTACCAAATCTGCACTGAGTGCCACAAGGTGCACACAGCTCTAGGCACTGGGGACACAGCTGTGAACAAACACGAACTCCCTTCTGCCCTGGCACTTACACACCGGCAGAGAAAAGGAGGTAAGAAGCCAACAAATAATATACAATATGTGTAACAGTGGTTTTTCTGGAATCCTACCCATAGGTGGGGGCCCATCAGGACATCCAGCCGCGATTCAAAATTCAACTTAAACGTTTAAATGCTTTTCTCCAAAGTTGAATTCCAGAAATGAACTCATAAAAGATGTTTCATGTTTTACCACGATTCAAAAGGTTGAGGTGACAATGCATCAGATATTTAATATTTATGAATAAATAAACTTTCTCCCTTCTGGCATAACAGCATTTGAGAAGTGCTATAGTATTTTCATAACAGATCTTTCAAAACCAGGAAGGAAGGAAGGAAGGAAGGAAGGAAGGAAGGAAGGAAGGGAGGGAGGGAGGGAGGGAGGGAGGGAGGGAGGGAGGGAGGGAGGGAGGGAGGGAGGGAGGGAGGGAGGGGGCGAAGGAGGGGAAGGAACGGGAAGAGAGGAAGGAAAGAAGGAAGGAAGAAAAGAAGGAAGGAAGAAAAGAAGGAAGGAAGGAAGGAAGGAAGGAAGGAAGGAAGGAAGGAAGGGAGGGAGGGAGGGGCCTGACACTCTAAGCTGGTGTTCTTTGATTCTCTCAGAATGTTTCCATTATCTACTAGGATTGGCCCCATTTCACAAAGCTACACGGACGTTGCCAACAGGGTTCATTACAGGCTTATAAAGGCGAATTTCACGCTCACACAAAATGGCATCACAGTGTTGGCATTTTACAAGTTGGTCTGCCAAGGTTCCTGACATACCAGTTCTCACTGTATTTAACACATCTCGCTTCTTTGGGGGTGAAATCAGAAACAGAATGAAAAAACAACAACAACTCCCTATCCATTGGGCTTGGCTATTTTAATGTGGGTAGATGTGGCTATAGATATAATAGTGACCTATGTGAAATCAGATGAATATCAGCAATTCCATATGACCAACCTAATATATAGACACTTTGGGGGTTTTGCTTTTTTTATTTTTATTTTATTGTTTAAAGTATTACACATAGTAGTACATATATCTCCTTTTTTTCCCATTGACCTTCCCCCAGCCTCCCCTACCCCCTGTCGCATGGCCTCATCTGCCCCCGCGCCCCCCGTCAGTGTCTTGTATCCATTGGTTGTGCTTATATGCAAGCATACAAGTCCTTCAGTTGATCTCTTTCCCCCCCCTTCCCCAACACTCCCCAGCCTTCCCGCTGTAATTTGACAGTCTGTTCAATGCTTTAGTGCCTCTGTATCTATCTTTTTGTTCATCAGGTAATATATAGACACTTTGTACAACTAAGGCAATCGCATTGATTTTTAGGGGTTAGATGTCTACATAATTAGAACTACCTACAGGACTCATGGATTTTAGGTTCTCTTGCTAAGTCAGCATTTCCATATCTTTGCAAACCAAAGATGCCAGTTTAACAGAGGGCACACAGGGAGATGCCTGCCATCTCTCTCCTAGGCTGCATTCCCTAAGAACACAATGGACTGTCCTCTCAAACAGAAACAATGGCAAGGCGCAAATTATAAAAATACAAACTGACTCTAACTGTAGTCCCGCAAGCTTTTGATTTTAATGATGGTTAGCCATTGTGACAAATGAAACAGCAAAGAATGTAAACAGCTCACCGATAGGAGCAATATGAAGGTCATTCTTCCACTTAAAATTCTAATCCTGTCTCTACGATTCACTTATCCTATGAACCAAATTACAAACAATGCATTTACAAACAAGCTTTCTAAAAACATTTACATAATACCTGGTTCACCAATAACCTTTCCTTTACACAAACCGATAGACTAGAGAATACTGAAAATGATCTATGTGTTTATAAGAACTTAAAGTTCATAAAGAAAAAAGCAAGTAGGTTACAAAGTGACAGATTATTCAAGGAATGCTGGGAAAATTCAAATTAGATCCCCACCTCAAACATAAGCCACAGTAAATACCATATAAATTAAAGAATTTTTTAATACTATAAAACAAGACAAAAACATAAAGGGTAGGGAAAATATAGGATTACAGTTGTTCATATGGAAAATAATACAATAATTAATAAATAATAAATAAGAATAAACTGTGTTGCATACTCACAACTGTAAACCTACCTTTGCCCCACCCTATAGATAAGTACTTAGTAATTCTTTACATGGTGCAGGATGTTCTGTCCAGAGAATAAAGCAATGGAAGAATTCAGAAAGAAAAATATTAATAATCTCTCTTAAAATCTAAAACATCTGTATATCAAAAACACCATTGACAAAAGAAAGCAAAAAATAAGCTGAGAAAAAACTACAAAAACTGCAACAAAAAAGCTTATCCTAATCTACAGAGTTCACATATGAGAAGAGAAATATTAAAAACCTAATTTTAAAAATGAGTAGAGGAAAAAAGAGAAGAGTAAATGCAAATGGCTAATATCGTAAATATATGAAAAAGATCAACTTTACAACAAATCAAAAATGCAAATTAAAACAACAATGAAATATTTTACTTATCAGGTTGGCAAAAACCTGTTAAACCAAAAGAAATGTGCGTGGGCAGTGCCCTTGGCGGGACTGGATCGACAGTGTTTGGACGGAACAGACCCGGAGACGCCCCTTCTTCCAGCCTCCGGCCACCCTCCAGCGTCTTATCCAGTCAACCACCTTCAGAACCACCTCTGGGACCAGTCAAAACACCGGGTTTTTTTCCTACCTTATCTCCTTATTACCCAACAACCATGAGCTCCCAGATTCGTCAGAATTATTCCACCGAGGTGGGGGCTGCGGCCAACGCCTGGCCAGCCTGCATCTGCGGGCCTCCGCACCTGCCTCTCTCTGGGCTTCTAGTTCCACCGCTGGGATGCGGCCCCCCAGGGCGTGGGCCACTTCTTCCGCGAGTTGGAGAAGAAGCGAGAGGGCTCCCAGCGCCTCCTAAGGACGCAAAACCAGCGCGGGGGCCGCATTCTCTTCCAGGACGTGCTGAAGTCTCCCAAGAGGAGTGGGCAAAACTCAGGACGCCATGGAAGCCGCCCTGGCCTGGAGAGGAAACCCTTGTGGAGCTGCAGGCCCTGGGTTCCACCCGCACAGACCCTCATGTCTGTGACTGCCTACAGAATCACTTCCGGGGTGAGGAGGTGAAACTCATCAAGAAGATGGGCGACACCTGACCAACATCAGCAGGCTGGCCGGCCCCCAGGCTGGGCTGGGCGAGTATCTTTTTTCAAGAGACTCACCCTCAAGCACGACTAGGGGCCTTTGAGAGGCCCCTCTGCATCTCCTGGTGTCTGGCTTTTACCTGAGCCTCTTACCAAAA